AGGAGACTGGTGGGCTATAGTTCATGGGGTCGCAAAGAGTCAGACACGACTGAGCATGCTCACATGCACCTTGTCAACGAGACGATGGAAACAGCTCAGAAGAATTCTATCTGCAGAACCTAAGACAGGTAGCCACACTTCGAGGAGCATCAAAAGAACCACAGTTTTGATACAGTGAGAAAGGAAACAAGTTCTGAAAACTGAAAATCATAGTTCCAACCCAGGCCCTTTCACTTTCCCAGCTACAGCTTTATCTCTCTAAATGTCCATTTCATCCTTGTAAAATGAGAAAGAAAAAAATACACACATACATATATCCCAGTTACATGGTATGTGTTCAGTGAAAGCCAGCATGATTATTATTATTACCGTCACTATCAATCTATCAGTTAAATAAGATACACACTACAATCATCTGCTTGCTTCAACTGTACTTTCAAACTTCAGTGAATGAATGTTTTAGTGCAACTATGGTACAAAAAAAAAAATCATACAAGAAGAAACAGATGTGTATCATTCACATTTTGGCTTTTTAAAAACTCTTAAACATGGGTTAAAAAAAAAGATTCCCAAGGTTACCTAATCTGCTATGATTTAACATCATTTTGACATTTTTCTAAGGAATGATAGTAAAGTGCTGTATCTCTTCAAACTTGGAATTTACTGCCTGTCTAAGTTTCTGCTTATGCCAAATTAAATATACAGTATAATGTCCCTACCAGAAACAACACAGCACTGCTTCTTGCTCTACTCCTTGGCTGAATGAACCCATACGAAAGAAAGGGAGACATGATCGTATTTAATTATCTGAATTAAGTGTTTTCTTCACTCTCATGAATTGGAAGTTTGGGGGGGGGCTATATTTAAAAGAAATCATCATGTGAATTAACAGGCCATTTAAAGGAAAAATTCTCTTTGAAGGCCCTACATTTGAAAAGTTCAGGATAAAGCATAAGACTATTCTTATGAATGAACTATCCAGAAAGTTGGCTTCCCCTAGCTAGTCCACAGCACCCAGACTCCTGAGGTTTCAGGGTGCTGTAAGATCTCTTTACCTGTGAGGCACAAACCACTATAGAACACAAGGTGCAGTGCTCCTTCCACGGACAACACCCAACACTTTTGAAGAGCTGTGTAATAGAAGTAAGAGAATGAAGAAATGTGACAGCAAATGGAGTAAGACATGCCCTGGAGCTCAGGGGTGAGGGTTTAGCGGAAGGTGGTGTCCAAGGCTGGGTTTTTTTTAAGGTAAAGGATGTAATCATATATTTCTCTACTGATGGATAACACAGGTAATGGAAGATTTCAAGTGCATGAGCAATGTCTTTAGGGAGGTAAAACGTGAAAAGGGGGTTCATCCACTGTGATAGGAGGCAATGATGTTTTGAAAACAAAAAGGAAGCAGTTATCTTATGGCCACATCAATTTTTAGTGTCTTATGAGACAAAGTCTTTGGCTAAGGATGAGGAGAGAAGAGGAAAATGTCAAGAGAGAAATGTGAAATAGTTACCTCCGAGAGAGACAATAAATATGTAGGTGAATATAGCTAGATTGCTAAGTAAGACAGAGAGATAGCCATGAATTGAGAGTGAGAATGTAACATGGTAGTTATGTTTTTTCTAGCCATATTCACCACTTTGACACAGGCACAGAACAGATGGACTATTACATCCAATTAGCATTGGGATTTGCCAGTGGAAAATAAATAAGATGGTGTAGTCATAATAATAGGCAAGTCTAGATCTACAATCTTATCATTGTGATGGGCAACATCAACACTGCCTGGAAACAGAATCACCATCTTAAAAGGACTGCCAAATGATTCATGTTTACCTTTAAGAGAAATAAGCGGCTGGGATCCACACCAATCAACAGGTAAAGATCATTAAGAGCAACAGGAGGCTATGAGAAGCCAGGCTGTTGCTTTGGTTTGCTACGTGGATCCTAGACCACCAAGACCGATGAGAGAAGAAATGACTGGGTCAAGGGAAGAGGTGAAGAGAGCCACTTGGGAGACATTGCCCAGGTGATAACAGATGGCCTGGAAGGCTGAGTCCTGGTAATGACGGAGGCAAGTGCGTACGGAACAACAGAATTCTCTCTGGCAGTCTTGTATGGGAAGGATATTGTGGCTGTGGTCTCATTCTCCAGATTGGTCTCTTGGGCAGTTTATACTGATCGTGGAGGCAAGTGTAGCTGAAAGAACACATGTAGTTCGGTGAGCTCCCTCAAGTCCTGCAGCAGGTGATATGGACTGGGGGTGAGAGAGTCTTCTAGGGAATACAGAGATGGTTCGGTATACTTCTATTAGAGGTGAGGGTACTAATGAAGATTGTGTAAGTTTCACCTATAAAAGAATTCCATTTTTCTTCAAAATATTCAGTATGATCTCCTATGCTTTTAGCATACTTGTGAATGGATCTTCTATAATACTGGAGAGGATAATTATAGATATTGGAGATCAATATGGATCATGAGCCCAGAAAACAGAGGAGAATATGCAAACAGAGGATCCCAGGATATTGAAGAGCTCTGGGAGATAGTTTGGGATATATATGTGCTATTAAATTAAGGGATTATCATGGTAGTCCCTTGGACTGAAAGGAGATCAAACCAGTCAGTCCTAAAGGAAATCAGTCCTGAATGTTCATTAGAAGGACTGATGGTGAAGTTGAAGCTCCAAAACTTTAGCCACCTGATGTGTAGAGCCAATTCATTAGAAAAGACCCTGATGTTGGGAAAGACTGAAGGCAGGAGAAGAAGGGGATGACAGAGGATGAGATGGTTGGAATGCATAGTGATTCAATGGACATGAGTCTGAGCAAGCTCTGGGAGATGGTGAAGGACAAGGAAGTCTGGCATGCTGCAGTCCATCGGGTCACAAAGAGTCCAACACAACTTAGTGACTGAACAACAACAACAATCACGGTAGTCATATATCAAATAAGGAGTGGCCCGATTGATAACTGTGCTATTGTTATTTAGTTGCTAAGTTGTCTGATTCTTTGTGACCACATGGACTATGTAGCCCGCTAGGGTCCTCTGTCCATGGAATTTTCCAGGTAACAATATTGGAGAAGGTTGCCATCTCCTTCTCCAGAGGATCTTCCCCAGCCAGGGACTGAACCTGCGTCTCCTGCATTGGCAGGTAGATTCTTTACCACTGAGCCACCTGGGAAGCCTTGTCTAATCTACTCATATTCAACAAAAAGTGAAAGTCACTCAGCTGTGTCCTACTCTTCGTGACCCTGTGGACTACACAGTCCATGGAATTCTTCAGGCCAGAATACTGGAGTGGGTAGCCTTTGCCTTCTCCAGCAGATCTTCCCAGCCTAGGGATAGAACCCAGGTCTCCCACAGTGCAGGCAAGATTCTTTACCAACTGAGACACCAAGGAAGCCCCATTTTCAACAAGGTGGCAGACAAAAAACAGGGAGGAAAAAGCTTAAGTGGATGATCAACCTAAGGTGTTAAGAATTACATGTATACAAAATAATACACAAATCAAAGAGCATTACTTTTCAAAAATCTCTATTTCATGCATTTGAGGTCCCTGATCCCTCAGATAGGGTTCAATCAAAAGTGAGGGGAATGAAGTGGATTCCTAACCTATTCCTGAGACCATCAGAATCTTCCACTATAGACTTTCAGCTCAAAACTCAGAAAACACAAATGAGATGCAAAGCTGTAATTATTATAGAAAACTGAATTATAATTATCCTGTAATTCACCCATAAAAATATTTCCCAAATCTATTTTAAAAATTGAAAACAGACCAGTTTCTACAAGCATATCAAGGATCCATCTTGGTAGGCTAGTTTCATTCAAGCTAAATTTGCATTTATTCCTTAATCACAGTGCTGAACTCGTTCTCCACCAAGAGGAAACAAATTAATTCTGGGCTTCTGAGGAAAGACTCTAGTCAATCTTCTCTTATTTCTTATAGATTATAAGGCTGCAATCAACTGATCAAATAAGCACAGTATCCCATTTTATGTGGCTGGGACAATTCAAGAAGGAAAAGTACATGTTCTGTCTTCCAAAAATAGAAATACACAAACACACACAGAGTCTTCCATATCTCTTACCTATAATAATAAAAGCTGAGGATTCTAAATTTTTTTTCACCTCAAAGTGAAATAATTGAGAAGCATACCAAAGAACCAGAGCTCTCAGTATAAACACCCAGGAGGGATACTGAAGTGTACATAAAGCATTTTTTAAAGACATTCTAACTTTTAAAATTAGCAAAAAATAGACTATTACACCTTAAACTTGAATATACCTCCTTATATGCTGTGATTTTGAATTTTACTGGAAAACCTTGCAACTCAAAGATACTTTTTCCATACATATCAAAAACTGCAGCCTGAATGTCCATCATTTGAAATGAATTACCCTGGTTTCCAACACTGTCCTCTGTTGAAGAGGCTGAAGACAAGTTTTTGTTTTTATTTTTGAAAGATCATAGTTTCTTCACATATCCATTCACACTAGCCAAAGTCAAGAATTTCTGAGGACAAGTTTAGACACTTAATAAAGAACAGCAGTTCCCGAACCATCTGCTTTGCTCAAAAACCGAAGATCTGTCACCCGCAAATTTTCATTTTTCTCCATGCCTGTGAGAATATTATTGTCAGCTGGGGTAGGTAACATTTGGTTTTTAATTGACATGACGAACAGACCAGGCTTTATAAAATGGCTATAATCAGTGCCTCTTTTCGGTGAAAAACAAAAGCAAACCATCATATGAATCCAAAAGTCACTCACTTTCAGCAAGTTCTTTTGATCCATTTAAGTGTCCTGTTACTAATCTTCTGATGAAGAAATGTGCAAAACACAGAATTTGAAGTGAACAACAGAACCTTGTTAGAGTCAAAGATATATGACAGAATACACTGAAAGTTTTTTTTTTTTTTAAAGAGGGAATCATTTCTCAAACTCATGAATTACAAAACTGCAGATTCTAGTAGCCTGATCCTATATTGTTGTCTTCTTACCTGGTAAGGAACAATACTGCCATGAGCTGTGCCCCACCTTTTCGCTTCCTTTTGGCCAATAAGATAATTAGCAGCTACCTGGGTCAAACACGCCACCTACCAGAAAGAAAAAAAAAAAAGAAAGAAAAAGAAGCTTGTTTATCTCTACCCATAAATAAAAGGTCATAATAGAAACATTCTCATTTGACTTTACTTCATGTCATTGTAAAAGGAAAAAAAGAGAAAGATAAAACTGTTCTGCATATTGTAAAGTAATTAGCCTCCAACTAATAAAAAAAAATAAATGAAAAAAAATAAAATAAAACAAAAACAGCTTGGGGAAAAAAAAAAAAACTGTTCTGCTTGGTTAGAAAATATGCAGGCAACCACACTTTCATCACACAAAGAAAAACAGAGCAGTATTACATTACTGCGTGAGACTAAGTCCTGAGTAATGGCCAATTGAGAAGTATAAACACAGAAACACCCGCTCCTGAAAAGATCATCTCAAGGCAGAAGTTGACCCAGTGGATGGAACCCTGGTCCAGCCTTTAGCATCAAAGTCATTGCAAAATACATCAGCAACTAGTATATTACTTTCCCCTTTTACTTTCCATCAAGATGACACCCAAAGAGCCTGCATCGTCATTGAGCAAATGAAATGACCAGGTGCCACATTCCTCTAAACTTCTCATAACATGAAAAAATAACACACAAACCTCTATTTTGTTAAGTCAGTTCAGTCAAGTTTTCTGTTCCTTTTGCCCAAAGCATTCTTCCTGGCACCGAGGATCAAGATTATTTAGCTTTTTAAATTAATTAATTAATCATTCTCAAATAAAAACTACTGGACTTCTTTCAACATGGCCCTAGGCCCATATCCTCATTGTTATACTTGTTTCAGCTTTCAAGAACTACAGATCTATTAAAGGGTCATCTAAAACTGTAGGGCCAACCTCTGACTCCTGCAGTATTTCATATACAGAAATTGAAAACATGTAATTATTGAATTCCATATGAAGATAATGACTTGATTCCTGGTGATCTGCCACAAAGCACTTATGTTCCAATGATTTTATCCATGCCTCCAAGGGCCCAGAACTATGAAAAGGAGGCGACCAAATAACAACTTTCCATAGTTTGCAGGAAGAAAAGCTTCTGGCCTCATAGCACTATCATGACATTGCATGAGCTGGCTTTTCTTATTCTATTATCATCAGATGTGATCAGGAATCTACCAAGCCAGCGAAAGAAACATCCCAAATTGAGAGTGGCTTGTGGAGCAACTCAAAGGATGGTTTTTTTTCAGGGCTTGATTCTGCAACCTGTCCTTGCCCTCTACCTGGCTTGGGAGCTGTGTCTCCTACAAGAGTTATAAATGGGGCTCAGCCTGGATGACTCTCCTTGCAACAGCAGCAGTCATTCTCCTTTACTTTACTTTTTTCTTGGGATTTACACTCACTTTTATGTTCATTTACTGCTCTGCTGAAATTGGAACTGCCTTGTGGCAGCTGGTTTGGCTGTACTGCCCAGGTGGCAAAACTAATAAACTTTGAGTCATCCACTTCTGGACCTCCATCTGGTCTTGGGCATTTGAACCATGGAGCATTCCAGGGCTGCCCGGGGCTGCCTGGTGCTAATCACCATTTCACAGATCACTTCTGTGTCTTTCAAAATGGAAAATCAAATCAACATTTTGTAGTAAAAAATGTACTGGATGGGAAGTCCAGATTCATGGTTCCTAATTTCTGTCAACTATAGGTATATAATTTAACCTCATTGACCTTTAGACACTTTCTCTATAAAATCTTGGGCATTTGACCTAAACTAATTAGTTTCAAACTTTTTTTATTAAAAAAAAGGGCATAATTCCTGTATCAAACCAAATAATGTATAAATAAAACATAAGCAGCTAATAACCCCTCCCCCACAGACTGGCTGAAGTACAGGCGACCTTACAATGCCACCCTAGGAAATGTGAACATAGAACACAATTTGCAAATTAGTAAATGGTCTAAATTTGTTTCCAAGGTCTATACCTCTGACTATATTACATTTCTTAACAATGTAGCAGAAGAAAAGATACCTGGGATGCAACAGAAGTCATTTTCCCATGAAGGCTCTTCCTGAAATTGGGGACATTTTCTCAAGTTTGAAGTTTTACTGTAAGAAAGGTGCCTCTTTGATAATAGCTATGTTGGGGAGTGGAGTTGTTGTTCCTTTCAAAAGGTCTAGTGAAAGTCACTCTCTAAGGAGCTCCGGTGCTACTGCAGGTCAAGAATTCACATTAATAAAGGTGATTCCCTGCAAGCAAAAAGTCATATGGGACTTGCTAGTTTCACTTTTCTAATTTCAAAGTCAAGTGATCGTCAATAGGCCAACAACAGAAAGGACTGCATCAACCTGCGGGCTGACTGGATGGTCACAGGGTTTTGTTTGTTTGTTTGTTATTGCTGCTGTTGTTTTTTTTTTAATTGGAGGGTAATTGCTTTACAATGTTGTGTTAGTTTCTGCTATACAACAACGTGAATCAGCTATAAGTATACACAAATCCCCTCCTTCTGGAGCCTTCCTCCCATCCACCCCCATCCCCTTCATTTAGGTCATCACAGAGCAGCAAGCTGAGCTCCCGTGCTACACAGCAGCTCACACTAGCTAGCTATTTTACACCTGATAGTGTATAATTGTCAGTGCCACTTTCCCAATTCATCCCACCCCCTCCTTCCCCTGCTGTGTCCACAAGTCCATTCTCTACGTCTGCCTCTCTATTCCTGACCAGAAAATAGGTTCATCAGTACCACTGGTCACAGGTTAATGTGAAGCTCTTAGACTGTTCTGAGACAGTTACCAGGGATAACCATGGGCTGGATGCCAGGCTAGAGGTCAGCCTAGCTTCCTCATTTCTTGCCTTACTAACTCATTCTTTCTTCTCAATTTTGACTTCTGTGTTTCTGTCTTTGACAACTGTTTTATAAGAATCGCATCAAGTAGAGTGAGTTCGAATGAAGGGTCAGACTTCATCTCACAGACTGTTTCTGAGTGGAAGATCATATCCATTTTCTTCACACAATAGTAGCTCATGAAAACAAGAAGCATTTCAAAACTGGCAGGTTCCCACCAGGGAGGAAGGTTAAATAAGATTTTACACAAGCTACCATCAAAAAACAAAGTATGATTCGTCAGTGACAACTCAGAGGTGAAGTCTGGGTGGGGGGGGTGGAACTCTATTTTTAAAAAGAGAGCAACAGGGCTAAACTTAGCAACCCAATGTTTAAAAGGGGCATTCCAGATCTGAAAGTAATCTACTATTTACAAAGATGTATTTTAAAGCAGGAGAAAGGGGAGAGAGTCAACAGCTATGACGTGATTATGTATGAAAAAATCAAAGGCTTCCTGGCAATTAATGACAAATTTTCCACAGATCAAAAGAATACAGGATGTGACTTTTAGGTTAATAACTACATACTGTATACCCATTCTAAATATTGCGTTAGATCATTATTTTCATCCCCTAAACTTAGGCTCATTATTTCATCATGTGGATGCCATATAATTTACTCAGAATGTTGCCTTTATATGGTTTCATCTAAACAAAACAGCCAACTTTGGCTTAATAATAATTATTCTGACAGCAAAATTATTATTTTAGATAAAATAATGGGTCCTGATATTCTTTGCATTTAACCAGAAAACTAATGGGGTGGTCAATGTGAATCTCAAAGGGCACAACCCCAGAAGGTTTGAGGAAGAATATGTCCATTTCCCAAAGCAGCCCTGTGATGTCCATCACTTTGTTTTACTTCTACCAAAATGAAGATAAAATGCAACAATATAATCTTTCATCTCCAAAAGGACAACCAAGTATCGCAAGTAAAAGAGGAAAAACAAGATTAGAAGCATACCCCCACTGCATCAACATGGATAATTTTTTCCCTTCTGCTGGTACCAAGCTCACTCTGTTAATTGCATGGCAGGCCAACAAGTCTACAGATGACGTGTTGAGACAAGTAATTTGAACTCTATCCGGAAAGCTGGCGAGTTGAGAAAATGGCAGACTAATTTCTCAAAATAAGCATCTTATTGGGGTCTGGATGCCCGTTTCTTTTATAGAAGAGGGTGAGAAAATAAAGTTAAAAGGTCATTTATCTTGCAAAATAGGAGGGAATGTGTTCATTTCTTCTTTTCTTCAGCCATTCATAGGTAGGGAAGGAGAAGGAAATGGCAACCCACTTCAGTATTCCTGCCTGGAAAATTCCATGGACAGAAGGAGCCTTGCAATCTACCATCCATGGGGTCGCAAAAGAGTGGGACATGACTTAGCAACTAAACAACAACAACAAAGAATCATATTGCCTCCCTGTGAGCTGAACAAAGCCATTTCAGTTTAACATTCAGGCAGAGGTGCAGGGTCCCCTGAGGCACGCAATCATGTGGGATGATAGTAACAAAAGCAATGAAAAGCAATGGTTAAAGTCAAATAAACAGGTCCAACATGGAGTCAAAATTGACTCTTCCCTGTTACACTGCTTCCTTGCATATATTCTGGCCTCTAAGCTAGACTACACACCAATCATGAATCACTTCTGCATCTACTGAAATCTGCATTCACTCTTCAAAGTCAATTTCAACAATGCCATTTCATTAAGTTCCCATGTGCTGCGTGCATGCTAAGACACTTCAGTCGTGTCTGATTCTTTTTGACCCTATGGACTATAGCCCGCCAGGCTCCCCAGTCCATGGGATTCTCTGGGCAAGAATACTGGAGTGGGTTGCCATGCCCTCTTCCACGAGATCTTCCTGACTCAGGAATTCAGGAGATCTCTTACATCTCCTGCATTGGCAGGTGAGTTCTTTACCACTAGTGCCACATGGAAAGCCCTAAGTTCCCACATCACCCAAGCCAAAAAAGAAAGCCTCTGAACAAATACAACACCTTAATTTGCCTGACTCCTGCTGTGCTTTCATGGTCTGCCACATATTACAATTAAAACTATGAGATGATAAAGCTAGACAGACCTAAATCAGTAGTCCCTAAACCTGGTGGTACATCACAATCACCTGGGGAACGTCACAACTCCAGCCAGACTTAAAGAACCAAAATGGAGCCAGGAAGAAAA